CCTCCCGACTGACCAGGAATGACACATAGATCATGACGCCGGCGGACAGCGAGAGGCAGACGGAGAAGACCTTCTTGTTGTACTGCGGCAGGCAGAAGCTCAACGCGCTCCCCAGTGCGGTGGCCGCGCCTGCACACACGGACCACGCACCGCACACAACAACACAACAAAACACACAGAGACGCATGGGTCATGCCAGAGGTGTCGCAGCCGGCCTGTCATCTGACGCACCCACCCCACCTACCTGCGATGATGGTGAGAATGAATGCAAAGACCTCGTTTTGAAGGTAGCTGCGGTCGTCGGTGGCCATCTTGACACGGATCTGATCTGATGAGATGGACGCCGCCAGAGATCTCAGTGCGAGGGGTGGCCGATGATTCAGACTAGCTTCTTGGACAGATCACACTTGCAGCGGGGAGTGGAGGGCCGACAGAGGCAGACGGATCTTTCCCGAAGACCGGACGCAAAACGTGCCGCCTAGGGTGCTTCCTGAAACCGCTGCTGCCGGTTTTCAGGGTAACTGCGCTGGAGACTTCTCCACCATTACTCGGGGAAGCACGCGCAGTACACCCACACAGTAGATGAGGCCGATATCGCTCATCGTGGCAGCGACGCCGTCCCGCGGCATCGGGAAGAATGGCTCGCTGCCGTGGCACCTGCCGCCTGACCTGGCCTACTTCAAGCGACTGACGACCACCACCAGCACCACCACCAGCACTAGCAGCAGCAGCAGCAGCACTGGCAGCACCAAGGGTGTTGAGGTGGGTCAGAATGCGGTGGTGATGGGTAGGAACACGTGGATGTCGCTGCCGCAACGCGTGAGGCCGCTGCCGGGCAGACTCAACGTGGTCGTCTCATCCACACTGTCAGCCAAACACATGGATAGATGGATGGATGGATAGATCTGCTGCATTCATTGCTTGCACATTGATGGCTGTCTGTCTGTCTGTGTCGGTTTGGGTTCAGGCAAGCTGGCAATTCGTCCTTGCCTGCTGGTGTGGAGGTCGTGAGCTCGTTGGATGCTGCTCTCGACCTCATCGAGAGCGCATACACGACCAAAGTCGACCAGGTCTTCGTCATTGGTAGGAACGAACAAACTCGCATACGTACCGACGAACGAAACACTCAAACCGGACCGCTCACATCGTCTTCTCCCCTCTCCTCTCAGGCGGTGCCGCTCTCTATGCGTCGGCCCTCGACAGCTCCCGTGTGGGCACCATCTACCTCACACGCATCGGCAGGGAATTCGAGTGCGACACACACATGCCCGAGATCGACACCAAGCGGTTCAGGCTTGTCTCACTCTCGCGGACACACGCATACCAGGACATCCCCTTCGACCACCTCGTGTATGAGGCCGTCAAAGATGGCGATGGTGACCGCACCAACGGCTACAGCTGCAATGGGGATGCTGATGCTGACGCTGGTGCTGCGACGAACGGCGTGGTGGGCGAGGGTGCGTCGTCGCGCGGTCCCAAGCCGGCGTCGAATGGGGGTGAGGGTATGGGCCATGAGGAGTATCAGTACCTGAGGCTGATCAACGACATTATCCGGCACGGGATACCTCAGAGCGACCGGACAGGTAAGTAATGTGTGGGTGGGAAGGGGCTGGTGTGTCATTCATGTCCACTCTCTCTTTCGTCCGTCGATGCGCACGTGGTGTGTATGGTATGCAGGTGTGGGCACGTTGGCCAAGTTTGGGTGTCAGATGCGGTTCAGTCTGCGGGAGGCCTTCCCGCTACTCACCACCAAACGGGTCTTCTGGAAGGGGTGAGCAAGCCGAGCCAAGCCAAGCCAAAGATGACTGACACCAATGGCCTGTGTGTTGTGTGCCAGTGTGGTTGAGGAGCTGCTGTGGTTCGTACGCGGCGACACCAACGGCAACCGTCTGGCAGACAAGGGCGTCAAGGTAAGGAAGGTACTCACTCGTCCACTCACCATGGCTAACTGCATTGTTGTGTGTGTCATGAACTGTCAGATATGGCAGGCCAATGGCTCTCGCGGCTTCCTCGACTCGCGGGGGCTCAACAGCCATGAAGAGCACGACCTCGGTGAGGGGAACAGAAGCGCACCAGCATGGTTGTTGCCTTCATCCTCGTGCCGTGCAATGATCCGCTGATCCGTGTTGGCAGGTCCGATATACGGCTTCCAGTGGCGTCATTTCGGTGCTGACTACAAGGACATGCACACTGACTACACGTCCGTACGTCGACACACACACACGCGCACTGGTGGATGGATGGCCGTGACACTTGACGCATGATGAGTGCACACACACACGCTCATCGCTATCTGCCTCTCTCTCTCTCTCTCTGTGTGTGTGTGTGTGTGTTTGTGTATGATGGTGCATTCATTCCTTACTGAAGGGGTGAGGGCGTGGACCAGTTGGCAGAGGTGGTTCGCCAGATCAAGGCCGACCCGACGGACAGGAGGATCATTCTCACTGCATGGAACCCTGCTGGTAGGGCGCGGCGGGCCGCACACAATCATGATTCGCAACCTACAGCCCCGCCCTCTCTCTCTCCCTCCCTCCCTCCCTCGCTCGGTGTGTGTCAGCGTTGAGCCGGATGGCGCTTCCCCCCTGCCACATGATGGCTCAGTTCCTAGTCGACACATCGACGTCGCCACACGAGCTGACGTGCATCATGTTCCAGCGATCGGCCGACATGGGACTCGGTGAGAGAGAGATGAACTGGACCCACCCCCACGCACAACAACAATTTCTCTGTGTCGGTGTCTGTCTGTCTGTCTGTCGGACAGGTGTGCCGTTCAACATAGCGAGCTATGCGCTGCTCACACGGATGATGGCTCAGGTGAGTGTGTGGAAGAAGACAAACCCATTGGCCGTCATGGGCATGTGTGGCGTCTTTTCGTTTGGTCAGGTGTGTGGGATAGCTGCGGGGGAGTTGGTTCACGTGTTGGGCAATGCCCACGTCTACAGCAGCCACATAGGCCCACTACAGGAGCAGCTGGCGAGGGTCCCGCGGCCGTTCCCCATCCTCAAAGTCAACCCGGCCGTCAAGGAAAGCCGTCTATATATCTCTTGTCCCCACGCCCTCACTGACTAACCGCATGTGCTCACACAAATATGTGACATTGTGTTTGGTTCTTTCTGGTTCTCTCTGTCACTCAGACGATAGACGACTTTGTGTCAGGCGATTTCGAGCTGATAGGGTACCACCCGCACGAAAAGATCGCCATGCAGCTGGCCGTATAGTAGTGTGGCAATCAGGAGCAAGCAATGGATTCAAAGACCAGATCGGGGGATCAAGAGCAGAGCAAGTACATGTGTGTGTGTGTAGAGAGACCGGCCCCCCCACCCCCTTCAGTCAGCAGGCACCCATCCCTCCCTGTGTAGCTAGCTAGCTGTGTGGCATGGCGCGGCGTGTGCAGCAGAGTGTGTGTGCAGCAATAGTAGGTAGCTAGGCAGACAGGCAGACGTGTAGACAGACATCTGGATGGATGGATGCTCTCATGAATCGACCGGCGTAAGTACTCACTGCGATCGATGGATGCCCAAAATACGTACGACCAGGAAGGGAGGAACCAATGAATGACACACGCACACCACAGCCACATCAAGCTCCCACCCCAGCAGCAGTGTGTGGTCTTGTTGGTGGCCGGCTGCCGGCCACTGCAGAGCTGCCCAGCATGCTGCCCACCACCAATGTTGATGTTGCACCAGCTGCGTGCAGCCAAACACACAGGAGAGACACATACTCGCTCGCTCCGCCCTCTGTCTTTAAATCCCCAGTGCGTGTATTGTATGTGTGACGTACTTGCGTGTCCGAGCGGCAGTCTCTTGCCCGTGACGGCCGATGTGGGTCTGCCCCTCTTACCGCTGACACTCCCACTCCCATCCCCACCCCCACTGCCCGCCCTCGATGCCATCTGGGGGGGCCCTCGGCCGGCGGTGGTGGTCATTTCCTCGCCCGGGAGTGAGAGGGAGACGTGGCTCTTGGTGTGGCGGGCTGGCGTGTGGGGTGGGGCGGCCGATGACAACGTGTGGGTGTCGTCCTCCGCTGCGTCGAATGGGGACATGCTGCAGCGCACACCACACACGGAGACAGAGAGCAGAGAGACAGAGGGAGAGTCAGGGAGTAGCGTGGCTGGTCGGTCGCTGGTAGACCGACTGACTCTTTGGTAGCTGTGTGTAGTTGTGCGGCTGAGGCGGACTTGGACAGCGACTGGTGCAGCTTGGCAACCTTCTCCTCGGCTGCACCAGACAACACCACACCGTGTCTCTCTCCGTGTGTATGCTCCAATTATATAGATGAGCGCCTACACTCAGTGAGTTGTGTCCTGTAGTCGTCAATCATCTGCTCCATCCGATGCCTTTCGTCCTCAAACACCTTAGACTGAATCTGCACAGACCCACCGACATCCCCACCACCCTGGTGGCCATCCATCGTCAGTGCGGGCAGTCCCTACCGCGGCTTTCTTTTCGATGACGAGGAAGTTGCGCAGTTTTCTGTTGAGGTTGACGATCTCCTGTTCTCTGTCCAGCAGCTTGCGCTTCAACACCGTCGCCAGGAAGGGCTGCTGACCCGCCCCACCGACACCCGCACCCTCCTCGCCTGCAGGCAGGTATCCATGTGTTTGTGTGTGTCACACACAACACAAGAGACACAAGAAAGAACGATCCTTCCTCGTTCCATGGAGAGAAGTGTGTCGCTGCTTGTTTCTGGCTCAGTCAGTCCCTTGCCGGATGCTTTGAGGTCTGGGGTGGATGTGGAGTATGCGAGTGTCTTGGCCTTTTCGCCGCCCAGAGGCTGGGCCGCCCGGAGCTTCTTGAACTCGTCCAACAACCTGTTTGTGACACGCAGGATGGACCAGCGGCCCGGGGTGTAAGCATGGCATAGTGAGGTCGTGTACTTGGTGTATTCCTGCTTCATTTGTTCAAGCTGCCTGTCGCGTCTCTCCAACTTCAGCAGAGACTGCAGAAAAGGCCCAATGAACTCGTTCTTTATGGTGGCCTTGCTAGTTGTGATACCTACCTTTCTGAGCGCCTGTTCTGAGGTCTGCAGGTCCTTGGACCGCCTCGTGAGCGCCTCCTCCAGCCGACGGCATCTCGCCTCTGCCTGACACACAACACATGCCCCCGCTGTGTCTCTGGTCTGTCTGTCTGTCTATCTATCTGACTCTGTGGCAGACGTCGCACCTCTGAGTGTCTCCTCTGTGTGAGGTTGTGCTTGGCGCTGTGCAGCTCCTGCACACGTGTCCATCCATCCATCCATCCACACGTGGCTGGCTATACAGGGGCTGGTTGCGTGTTTGTTTGCTCACTTGTCTGAGGTGCTTGAATCTCTTCTGCAGCTGCGTGTTCTCCGCCTGCTCACACGAACACACGCATCCAACGGATACGTCCATCCATCCATCCATGCATGGGCGGGCGGCCTGGGCTGACCTCGATGCCTGCGATCTTTCCTATCTCTTTCTGCGCGAGGATGTTCTCCCTGGCGTGATAGGTCTGCAGCTGGTGCACCTCCACCAAATGCTGCAGCAAGGAGCAGGGAGAAATGGAGGACACACATATAGACAAGGGGCGCTGATGTCTGTCTGTCTGTCTGTCTCGTGTCTGCGTACCTTTCGCTGCAGACTGGCAACCTGAAAAGAGAAAGAGAAGAGGGGGGCAGCGATGGCAAAGTGGCCGAAGTTTTCTCGATTGGATTCATTCCCACCTGTTGCTCGAGGTGTGGGATCCTGTCCAGCTGCGACTCCTGCTCCTTCAGCTTCTTGGCGTGCTCCGCATTCTACATCCACACACAGATAGAGAGACATCCATGCGGCCGCGCTCGGTCCATTGCCACCCTCATCGCTGACCCATGTGTTGAGCAGGTTGATTTCGTCCTTGTACTCCCTTATTTTGTCCTTGAACTCGCACCGCTCCTTGTCGATGTCCTCCAGCACCTTCTGATGCGCCGTGTGCGTTCGCTCCTTCTCCCTCTCCAACTCGTCCACCCGCTCGGACAAGGCTTGCTGTGCAAACACGTACACACACATATGCACAGACTGATTCAGCTGCTGTGCTGGCGTGCTGACTTACCACGTCATTCAGTGCCGCAGCACGCTCCTGAGATAGAGAGCGAGAGAGAGAGAGAGAGAGAGACATGATTGATGCAGACGAACGATCTGTGCACGGTGTGTGCGAGGTGACATACTTACGTCAGTCATGTTGTGGAACTGCTCCTCCATCTGCTGTGCGTGCAACCGCAGCGAGGCCCCCTGCTGCTGCATCTCGCTGCACACACCACACACATATACCCGAGACGTATGTTTGCAATGGCGGGACAGACAAAGCAACACACGCACCGTTGTATCTGCTCCTGTGTGCGTGCAGCATCCGCCAGCAGTATCCTGATGCCCGCCCGTATGTAGTCGAGCACCACCACGGGGTCCTTGACCATCAGAGCCAGTCGGTCCTTCTCGACGTCAAGCGCCTTGGGGCCCTCCCACGTGCGGCTGCGCAGCTCTGACAGCGATGGAATGAAGTGGATGGCACAAGACACATAATGCCACAAAAGTCTTCTGGCCTTCACTTACCCAGGTAGAGGTCGACGATGACCTTCTGCAGCTTGCCATAGCGGTCGACCTGACAGAGGGGAGGGTGGCGACATGCAGATCCATGCGCGATGCTGAGCTGAGGTGTACTGTACACCCACCTACTTTGTGTTCTGATGTTTTGTGTGCATGCTCGATGGTCGAGTACTCGGCCTGCAGCTTCTCGTGCTGCACGCGGCGCTGCTGCAGCTCACCTACACACATAGGGAAGAAATAGGCACCGGTGGGAGGGAGGGAGGGAGGGAGGGAGACACGCACCAACACACATATATGTGTCTGTCTGTGTGTGTCTGTCTGTCTGTGTCATTTTTCTTCCCACGTTCTTTGGCTTCGAGCCGCTCCTTAAGGGTGTCGACTTCGCTGAGTGCAGTCATGTGACACACATGACAGACACATGGTCCAATCATTATGGCGTTCATTCCATTCGTGCCATGCCATACCCGAGTTTCTCCGTCGCAGCCCGCAGGAGCACCCTCAGCTCTCCCGGGTCAGACTGCACACAGACAGTGCAAGACAGACAGCTAGGGACAGATGGAATGAATGAGTGGGCGAGTGCAGCTGTTCCTGTACTGTGAGTGGCTGCAGGTGGTCATCGGGAGCGATGCCTTTGGCACTGCCCGTGAGCTTTAATTGCGCGGGCAGCGCATCGCTGTCGAGAATCGCTGACTTGCCTCGCCTGTCCATCCTCGAGTTCGTGTCGAATTCACAACGTCCAACGGTTGCGAGCTTAGCTTGGGGAGATCCCTTCTCCGATGTGGCGTTTTTGGATGCACGGCGTCCTCTCGGCGCTCATGTGCGCACTGCATAGCGTCGCGTTCCTCCTCGTGCGGCCGTTTCATCATCAAGGTCGACGGAGCCCTCTGCTTCCCGATGCAGATCTGAGGGTGGTGGTCTCTCGGCGAGGCAGGTATGGCGAACCTCTGGTGACCTTTGCTACGGCAAGCAAAGATCCGGAAGTGCTCTTCCCTGAGGTGAGGTGACAGCGCTGGTTCGTTGTATCCATTAATGAATCAAAGCAATGCTTGTGTCTGTCGTTGTGTTGTGCATCCACGTCGTCCACAGGTAGCGAGGGATGAGGACAGGGCGTACAGGAAACTGGACAAGCTGCTGGCGGGCGAAAACATGAGGAGGTGAGGGAGCCGTCGATGGGCAGTGAATGGGCAGTGAATGAACGAATGAGTGAATGAGTGAATGGAATGCACTCGCTGACTCTGTCGCTATTGTTTTCTGTGTCGACTGACTGCAACCCACAGTGCGTTGGAGGAAAAGATGCTGGCCGAGGCAGAGATGGAGAGGCGCAAAGCTGACCAGGACACAAGCCAAGAAGGTAAGGCAGACAGGCAGACAGACACTGCGCTATGGTGGACGTTCCTTGCATCTCCCTCCCTCCCTCCCTCCCTCCCTCCCTCCTCTCTCTGTTCACAGTGTTGCTGCCTCCTCCGCCCGATCCTTTGCACCTCACCTGGGACGCACTGGTATGTGTCTACCCATGAGGCACAGACAGACAGACGGATGCACCGATGCACTGAACGCCGCTCGTGTGTGTGTTCAGTTGTTGGCCAAGGGTTTCCCCTTTGACGTGTCCGAGATGGAGGTACGGGACTGGTTCAGGCCGTTCAAACTCGCACCCGACGGAGTCGTGTTCATCAACGACCAACACGTGAGCCGCGCCAGCTTCCTGAAGCCATCCATCCATCCAGTATACTGTGCCATGCTGTGTGTGTGTGTGTGTCTATTGTGTTGGTGTCAGGGCGACTTCTCGGGTGACGCCTACATCCGGTTTGGATCGCCGAAACAGGTGAGCAACCGACAGCTGGGTGCATCTCATCTTCTGTCTGTCGAGGTGGGTATGGTACGGTGTTGTGTTGTGTGCAGCGTGACCGTGCGTATGAGCGGCTGAACTACGGCGACATGGGCCATCGGTACATCCAGCTCTTCAAGGCCAACCCTGTCGAGTACCAGCAGTACTATGACACCAAGTTCAAACCCACGGGACGGCTCAGGAATGCCGTCAAGGTCGCTTATACACTCGCAAGCCAGACAGGCACACACACGCGTGTGTGTGTGTGTGTGTGTGTGTGGTGCAGCCTGAGCTAGTGGAGATCCCTGAGAGCGAGTGGGTGCCACGCTTTGACTTCGCTGACTATGACGACCTACAGACAGGCACCACACTGCAGGTACGCACACGTCCCGCCCACCAGCAACACACAACACTCACTCAGCCGCCCCATCTCTCTCTCTCTCTCTCTGTGTGTGTGTCTGTCTGTCTATCCATCAGGGTGAGATCAAGCACGTGGAGCAGTACGGCGCCTTCATCGACTGCCGTGTGGTCCGCCGGGACGCCACCGGGCGGCTGCATCTGGTCACGGGCCTGCTGCACCGGAAGGACCTGCCGCGCAACATCGGGCTGGCCACGCAGGAGCCGGAGTACCAGGCGGTGCGGGACCTCATCCTGGCCCCTGGGATGAAGGTGCGTGTGATGGTGGCCACCGTTGACAGGGACCAGCAGCGCTTCTGGCTCACGCTTGACGCATCGACCACTGAGGAGAAGCTGGAGTGGTTCAAGGTGAGTGAGTTGGAGAGAGGGGGGGG